ATGAAATGCCGCACAACTGGAGAATTTCAAGAACGGATATAACACTTTCCTTAGGTTATTTAAAGCGGCAAATGACCACCAAACCTTAATCTTAGCAGACAAATGTGCCAATGAAAATCGTAAACGTGAATTGTTGGTGAAAATGTTGGACCAAAAAGTTTCAATAAAATATATATAAAAATTTTGGGCGGGACGAAGTTCGCCGGGTCTGCTAGTTGTTTATACGACACATTAAGCGCTTTGACCCAGTCCGCTGTGATTCGAAGCGGATGCATAAAACAAATTTCAATACGCTCTGAATTTCAAAAGTGAATTGACTCGAATTTGATTTCAAATCGGTTTTTTATTTCTCAAATCGGTTAGAAAGCATAGAAGAAATTGACGGCCAAGTCCATCTCGGTGAACGTAAGTTCCGCAGGGCTGCACTACTGCTGCAGCTCGCTTGATACCGGCAGGATGTACTAACGGACCCACGTCCAAACTTCCCTGCCGAAGCGGCTGTTCTAGCCGATGAGCGTGATAGCCTACGTCAGGCCGATCCCGGAGATCCCCGTATCAGGGATCTCAACGCGGAGATTCGGCAACTAGTAAACGTACATAAGCGGAAGAAGTGGGAGGAGCATCTGAAGACCTGTAACTTCACCTCTGGTGTGAGCAAGCTTTGGTCAACCGTGAGGTCACTGTCCAATCCGACGAAGCACGACGACAGAGTCGAAATTTCCTTCAGCGACCATGCTTCGTCGGACCCGGAGCGATGCGCGAGCTATTTTAGCCGCCTGTTCATACTGCATCCTCCGGTGGACAAAGCCAAGCGTCGAGTGACCAGAAGGCTGCACAAACTGCCAACAAACTGTGCCCCCCTTGCTTTCACTTGCGGTGAAGTTCAGGTGGCCATCGGGAAGGCGAAAGCCTCCAAATCCATGGGTCCCGACGGAATATGCATGCTTATGCTGAAAAATTTGGGTCCTTGCGGGGGTAGCGTACCTAACGGAGGTCCTCAATTTGTCAACTTGCTCTACTAAACTATCTTTAGTTTATGTTTTTCCACGGCTCGCACATCTTTACTAATTTTGTTTTAAATAAATACCATGTATTTTTCGATTTGACTTAAATAGGTCATATTCGAAAATTGATAACTTCCAGAACTTAATTCACATCATTGGCTTCAAACCGATTTAAAGTTACCTGTGAATAATTAGTTTTCATAAAAACCCACCAACACTTTACCAAAGGTCCAAAGTAAATGATATAATGAAATAACACTTTGTACAAGCGCTCCTTCCATATTTCTGGGGTCATATGACCCATTGTGAAGTCTGATCGAGTTTTAATGAGACTGGCTCGATTCTGTCATTGCATAGCCTTTTGACAACTGTGTCAACTTCTATAGATTTAGTTGTAAGAGGATATCACCCTATTTCTTTTAAGCTTAAAACTTTTAACGTGGGAGTTGACCGGAGTCCAGTTTTAAACATGTTTTATAGTCATTATTATTAAATACCACATTTAGTGCGAACATTGGGGTAATGTAAACGGAGCGGTTTTTGTTATAAAATTTATTTAATCTAACAGAGTTTTATATATTATAACTCAATAAGGTTTAAGTCTTGCCATAGCTTGCATTCGCTGAACTGAGGATAACCGTTTTCCAATTCTCTCGCACGATCTTCTTCTGATAAGCCGTTTTTTTCCTAATTCAGGTAAAGAGCCTTATCCTTAAGCTGGTGCGAAATGATGTCTTTTAATGATTAGCTCACCCCGTTAGTTTAAGCAGAAGGAATCTATTCATTGATTTTTGGAGGATAATTATAAGTTTTTGGTATATTTAATTTTAATTTGATTTTTGATGTCGAAAATTCGGATTTTCAACGAATTTGTTCAACATTATTTTTTCAGCAGCAACTTCCAAAGCGAATAAAACTGTCAAATAAATACTATGAAATTTAAACCTCATAATGGTAGATCTATTGTCTAACGATCTGCATTGCAACTTTTTAATACATTCCAACAATTGCTGTACAGAAATTGCTGGAACGCGTACCGATTTTGAGTGAACGATGCTTTATATGGTTTACAATAATATATGTTTGGTTGACTGTGCATCTCAGAAACGAAATTGTTTTTTTTTAAACCGTCAGATTAAGAAAACCCCTCCAGATAATCGTCAGATTATGGAACAGGACGGCAAGGGCATCGAGATGAACCTTCTGTATGAAAATCTGGCGCGCTCGAGTAAATCCAAATGGCGATTTTTTTTGCATCTTCAAGAAGACGCCAGGAGCTTGCGTCACATCTGAATCGTCACATTATTGAATGGGAGGTTCATTCGGGCGCATTTAATATCACTTGTGAATATCTGACGCGCTCGAGTAAATTTTTTTGTTACCCATCTTTGACCCTTCCGTACGCCAAACCCCACCATGCAAACCGGCAAATTAGCATATTCCCGTCATCAGAAACACGTTTGATTTATTCACTGTTGATATCTGACGCGCTCGAGTAAATCCATGTAACTGTTTTTTTTTTGTTTTTTTTTTTACAGTTTTGGAAGCCTGTAGGTCCTCTACCCATCGCTGGATGGAAAAACATCACATGACCTTTTTTTCTTCATCATCATCATCTTCGAAATCCAATAGGTCAAAATGACGCTCGAGTAAATCCCGATTTAGCATCGTGGGCTCCCCTACTATAAGGTGTTTACCTATTTTCCCAGTGGGGGATTGCAATATGTAAATAAATTAATAACAACTTACGCTTTTTTAACTTCGCTTTCCGTCGCATTTCTCGATATGTCGAGAATTTTATAATAGTCTACCATTGTTTAAAGTTGTTTTTGAACGAAAATCAGAATTTTTAATTGAAATCAAATACCAGTTATTCTTTCAGATATTGATTTGTTCAAGTCCACACTAGATGTATTTCCAACAGACTACGAAGAAATTTCTTCCAAATTAGTGAGTTATCTGAAAACATAAATAAAATGCTTATATTATTTTCAAGATTTTACCCTTGATTAGATATTATACTATATAACAATATATGTTATGGAGTCGAGCACGTCGATAACGATGTTTTACCTGCAGTTCGTGTGTTCAAATATCTTTGAACATGTCGTCGCCTGGGTAAAAGATTGTCGGTATGTTAATTTCAGCAGGTTGTGGGAAATCGCGATTGAAGTTTGGAATGCAAATTCTCAAAAACGCGAAGATAGATTTTCTCCAAAGTCTCTGAAAATGTTACTAGTTCACAAAATTCTCAAATTATTTATTTTTTAATTAGTTTTGAGTTTATGAAGGATTTTCTTTAGTCAAATTTTGTCGTAGGCGTCATTTGTCCAGAATTTGGCAGACATATTGTATGAAATACGACAAAATGTTATAAAAATTTCTACCAAATTAACGCCATTTTTAAGATATTGATTAGTTTAATGTGACTGCATCACCAACTAAATTTTTACTAAATTATCGAAAAATTTGCAGTCAATATCTCGGAAACTAAAGGAGATATCTAAAAACTGATAACACCAATCGAAAGACATTATTTCAAAATATATAACTGCATCCAGAACTAAAAATCGTTAAAATGGCGCTTACGACAATCTTTTACCCAGGCGACGATGTGTACAGTAGACCGTTCGTTATTTAAAATTTTTTTCAAATATACAGTTTGCCGGGCAGAAAAAGATGTCTTTTAGTCTAAAAGTAAGCTGTGCAAAATTTTATTCGAATATGATTACTCTAAGTACTTGCGCGTTGCATTTGAAAATTTACATAAAACATATGCAATTAGGGAAAAAAGTTTTTAACAAAATAGTTGAAAATCATGAATTTTATAGTCACTCGCTATGTAAAATAACTCACAGAATCTGAATATGACGTCAAAAATAAAAAAAAGTAGAATAGGTTTTTAGAACTTGCGAAATTATCGTTTTTTTAATTTTCAATTTTTTTGCATTTTCAATTTTTTCGAAAAATATCCGGTTCTGATTATCACACCGCAAAAAGCTCTCCACCAGATTAGAGGTCTTCGAAATACCTATGAACTTGCTTCGCAATGTTTTGCAACCAAATTATCAGTTTTAAGAGGCATCTGCAAATTTATGGGTGAAATCGGACACAATTTAAAGTCGCATCGTTATTCTACTGTGAATTACACCTAAAAGCCTTTTGTTCTTATTTTTATGG